CAGGCGAGCAAGGAGGAGGAGGAGGTGGAGGAGGAGGAGGAGGAGAGCCAGGGCTGTTTGTTTTGTTTTCCTCTTTCCCTCGCACTCAATAGTACAGGAAACACGAGGAGAAAAGCAGTAATGGCCTTCCTCCAGACTGCTGCCAATATTGTGTAGAGAAGAATAGCTGAAGAACAGGAGAAAAAAAATTGTAGCATTTTCTTTTAACAGTGTGAACTTTGAAACACTTTCTGACTCATATTTGAAAGTCTCTTCAATTTGAATTCGCCTTCCTTCGTGTTGTTTTTCTCAAGGCAGTAGGCTTGACTCCAAAGATGTGTCAGCCAGCTGCTCCCCTGGAATTAGGAGTCACAAGGCCTGGCCCCCCTCTCCCATCCCAGTGGGCAAGGCTGGGGTGAGAACCTGGCTTTGACCTGCCTGTCCTTCCTCAAGGCTGGCCTTCAGCTCGGGCCTGAGGGCTGGAAATACCCAGAAATGTGCCCCAGCAAGAGGCTACTGATTTGCTGTGGGCAATAGTCCCTGCTGGGTTCTCTATTCGTGCATCCCTAAAAACATCATTGCTGCCTTTGGCACAAGTAGCAAAGCCAATTTCACTGTCTTCAAGAATAATGGGGGTTTTGTTTGCAAGGAAAGCTGAAGTCCAGGACCCCCTCATTAAAGGACCCTTTTCTCTCCTGTGGCTCGTGAAGTGTTGGCTTTCTGCTTAGAGGGTGGCAGCAGCTGGACTTCCTGCCTCCAGTTCACCCCTGGTGAGAAGAAAGCTTCTGATTGGAGCAGCTCCGGACACGTGCCTACTCCTGAGCCAGTCACTGCAGCTGGACATAGGCCATTGCTGACAGGCTCTGACCAATCAGGGCCTAGGACACAGTGACAATGTGGGACTACACAGATCACCTGCAGACCAGCGCCCTTCTTGTTCTCTTAGGCATAGTCATTCCTGTTACTCCTGTAATTGTTGTCTTCTTATTTGAGTGTTTTAGGTGGGGGGATTCCATAGCACATCAGGCCTACCCCTCTGGCTCTGCTTCTCCACCAAACCCTCTCTTTGTCCCACCCTCCCCCAAGGCGCAGCCTCCTGGAGCTGAGCCTCTCCCTCCCCAAATGCACGCTGATCCTGTTTGTCCCTTTGGGACGGCAGGGGTTAGTGGATGCAGGCAGAGGAGTCAAGTTCATTCTTTGTGAGACGACAGGGGCTGGGTCAGGGCTGAGGAGAGGTGGGGACACCTTCACAGCCTGCTCCTGGAGCACTGAGGGTCAGGTACCTTGGTCTCAAACTTCCTGCAGGCCACAATCAAACTATTTTGGTTCGCGCATCCAGATGTTGGAAAAATTAAGTACCCCACCCTATTTCCGTTGGCCTCTGATTTCTCTTCCTCACATCACACACACTTCCCGGATGACCTCACCCGACCAGCCCTCAGACCTGCTCGGCCTCCCTGGTGACTGGTGGTGCCACGTGTTCCGTCCCCTGCAGCCTGGTCCATCTGGACATCCCCACGGCACACTGGAGTTCCTGTGTCTCCATGGAGTTGGTTTTCCTCCAAGTGAGGTCTTCCAGGGGGATCCCCTCCAAGTGCCGGTGACACCATCGTTCCCCAGGTCCTGGCAGTTGGGCTGCATCCCTGTTGCTGTCGGGGGCTTCTCTCTGGAAGCATGGACAGGTGTGCCCAGGTCTCATGACGGGGTCAGTCCACAGCCCATGGCAGCTCTGGCTGCAACGCCGGTGCCCCATTGTGGGGGTCACCCAGCTGCTATGTGAGCAGCACCACAGCAATTCTTTAATTAGACCAATCTGGGTTTTCTGAGACAGAGGTGGGAGGAGGTGTGGGGGCCGGTTGGGGGAAACTGGGTCACCTGGAAACAGCAGTCAAGAGGGAGCTGTCCTGGAGCCCCAGCTCCTGGGAGCTTGGAGGAGTGAGGGGGAGGGGCTGGCAGGGAGTGCTGAGAAAATGTGCCCTGGCCCCTTTTATAGGCCCTTGGGAGACACTGTCCTCACTTTCCTCCAGGGGGCTGGGCAACTGCCCTTAATTTCTCTGCGTGGAGTGGGGAGGCACTTGGTGAGGCCCTCCTGCCTGTCTAGGGCCTGGGAGAGAGCACTGGGCTGGGAGGAAGGCTCCCAGGCAGTTCCTGTGCTATGTCCTGGGAACACGTTGCCCACCGCCTTATGCCTCTCTCTTGTTGTCCTTGCATTAGCCACACCCCTTGTCCTGAGCGCCTTCTGGGCACATGGCAGATGTCCACTATGTGTTCATCAGTTTCAACACAGAGACCATATTAGCACCATTCTTCTAAGATCGTTGTTCTGAGAACCAGTGGCAAGGCAGGTTTTGCAAATGCCAGTCACTTGTACTGTTTGTCAATACGAAATATCATAATCATTTAACTTTTCTTTACTACCAACTTGCTAGTTTTTGAGAAGATTTATTTAAAAAGGCAATTTTATATCCCCACCATAAATAAATAGTAACTATGAAAACAAATCCGCAGACAACAAAAGTATGTCATTGCTGTCTGCCGTAGACACAGTTACTTGCCTGAGGCTGGGAGCCAGGCCGCCATCTCTTTGTTTTCAAGGAAGAGCGGCTGGTTATAAAGACATTAAGTGCTTATCCACAGCACACTGACCGTTTGTTCTGGAGAGAATCTGAAAGATCGAAAAAAAAAAAGAGAGACAGGTGTTCCTCACTCTCCTGCTCTCCCGTCCTCCCATGTGGGTCCATGTTATATGAAGGCTTCTCCCTATACTTTTTTTTTATTTAAAGATTTATTTATTTATTTGAAAGGCAGAGTTACAGAGAGGGTCACACACACACACACACACACACACACATCTTCCATCCACTGGTTCATTCCCCAAATGGCTGCAATGGCCAGGACTGGGCCAGTCCAGAACAGCCAGGAGCCAGAAACTCCCTGCTGGATGGAAAGTGGAGCAGTTGGGACTTGAACTAGTGCCCATATGGGATGTAGGCATCTCAGGTGGCAGCTTAATCCACTGCACCACAATGCTGGCCTCATCCCTGTACTTTTGAAAATTCCCTTGGGATGGATTCTTTTTCCACACTTAGGGAGACACTTGGCTGAGAGGATACCTGGGGATTTCTTTGAAAAGCTGTGGCAGTGATTGGTGCAAGAATTCTTTTCACTTCCTGCGTGTTTTTGGCACTACCCACTTAGCAGGTGATGAGCAATAATAATGAAGAAATAAGTAACTGAGTATAGACTCTTAGGGCTGGAAGGAATCTTCTAGAATCCTTGGGCCAATCTGACACCAGTGTAGACCCTCTCCTGCAGTGCATGTTGGAGAACCTGCCACCTCCTAAGAAAACCACTGGATCACGAGCCCCACTGTTAAGTTGCTGGTTGGATAGCTCTGAGATCAGGTGTGCATTCTTGAGTGCACTAACCCCTCCCTTGTACGCTGCTCCTGCTCTGCAGAGGGCAGACCCACACTGTCTCCCCTTTCTTGTGCAGAATGGGACTCTGGAGACTGGGGTCTCATTCTGCCTAACACAGGACTTGGAGACTCAAAGCTAGCAAGCAATGTCAGTTACTGAAGGCAGTCAGGATGGAGCCTCGGGGAGTCGTGGGGTCTGTGGTGCATTAGAGAATTCATGCCCTATCTGCAGGCAGCAGCTCTGCTCTGTACCTGTTGATGGGTACCAGCATGGCCCAATTCTGAGATGTTCTAAGAAAAGCTGAAAGTACGATGTTGGATATAAAACATCCAAGTTTTAGATGCTAACAATGAATTAAACTATTGCAAACTGTAGTATGTCCTAAAACCCAAGAAACCCACAAACGTGATACAGCCCAGAGGGGGCTTTCTGGTTAAGTCTGGCTCATGCTCACTTACTGTGGATCACCGCCCCAAGACTTCCCTGTTCCTTCTGAGCTGGGCAGCCCCAGCCTCTTCACGCCAGGTCTGTGTGTTGGTTTGCAGAATTTCCCTCCGTCATGGTCAGCCCTCTCGTGCCTTTCCATGCTGCTGAGCTCCCTCTCAGCTCCTGTCTGTTCCTCTCACCGAGGAAACTCCTTCTCAAACGAGTTGTCCCATGGTTTCGAGACCTTCCCTGACAATCCCAGGCACACTGGCTCTTAGCTTTTCAAGCTGTGTGATGTTGGGCCAATTACTGTGCCTTAGCTTTCTTATCTGGAAAGTGGGCATGATGACAGAGTCTACTTCATTAGGTTGTAGAGAGGTGGTTTTATGGATACATTGACAAGCAGACAGATAGGCATTTCCTAAAGGCGGATCTGGTCCCTAGGCCTGAATCAGGGCTTGTCACAGAACAGTTGTTCATTAAATGTTTGGTCACTTGGGAAAGTGGGGGAAGTAAACATGTGGTCAGCAGCTCTCAGTGAGGCCTGACCACCCCAATGATACTGTGTGGCCATGAATTCAAGTCTTTTTTAAAAAATTCCTTATTTCCAAAAAGGCAACCAAAATATCTACCTGAATGGCTAAAATAAAAAGCAGCAATGGCACCATATGCTGCTGGAGGACCTGGAGCACTCCTGCCTTGCTGGAGGGAGCGGAAGCTGGTGCAGCCGCTCCGGAGGGCAGCTGGGCAGTTTTTTTGAAACCTAAACCTGCATTTGCCGTGTGACCCAATGATTGCATTTAGCGCTGAAAAGTGAAAAGTGACAGTCACACAAATGCTGTGCATGAGTGTAATAGCCCCAAACTGGAAATAACCCCGATGTTCTTCCAAGGGTGAACTCTATGGGACCCATCCATAAAGTGGAACAATACTATTCCAAAAGGGAATGAACGTGCTCTACATGCAACAAGTTGGATGAATCCCAAAGGGACAAGGCTGAGTACAAAAAGCCAGCCCCCAAGGCCGCCTGCTGTCTGATCCCATCTATGTGACGTTTGTGAAATGACAGAGTTCTGGAGATGGAGCACAGATTAGTGATTGCCAGGGGCAGGGCAGGAGTGGGTTTGGAGGGGGCGTCTGGGGAAGGATGTGGTTATAAAAGGGGAACAGGAGGGGTTCTTGAGGTCATGGAACCCTTTATATCTTGACTATGGCAATGAATGCCTTGATAAAATTGAATAAAACAAAACATGCATACAAATAAGTAATAAGTAATGATAACATTTATAAGTAGTCAGTAATGTAAAACTTAGGACAACTGAATAAGATGGGTAGATTGTGTCAGTGTGGATTCCTGGCTGTCATATACAGCAGTTTTCCAGCTGTTATCCTTGGAACAAACTGGGTAAGATGTACTGGGATCTCCCTGTGCTGTGACAACTGCATGAGAACCTGCAATGATCTCAAGAGAAACATTTTAATTAATTAATTTGAAAAGCATAATAAGGTATTCAAAACAAAAATCAGAACCAAACCAAGCAAAGGGCAACCCAGGTCAGTCAGCTTGTTTCTTGCCAAGCCTTGGGATTGGCTTATTTATGTCTGAGGTCACACCCACTCAGACCCCGGAACCTCTGTCCTAAGAACACTAGCAAGCCAGCCCCTTCCCCATTCTGCCTGTTTACCTCCAGTCTCGGAGCTGGGAGAGAATGGAAGAATAACCGGACTCACCCGGAGCTCCTGAGGGTCCAGGCTAATCCGAGGCCTAGTCTTTAGCGTCCAGAGGAAGGGCGGTCCAGAGGAAGGGTGGTTGGGAAGGTCAGAGGAAGCAGGGAGCCCAGGAGATTAACAATGGCTTCCTGAAGCCCAGGGCCATCCTGCTCCTCGCTGAGACCTGCACCAGTCTTTCCTGCCACCCAGTGACTGGCATCAGCCTTGCCTGCTGGTTCACAGATGTGCCGTGTTGACATTTCCTGCCCTTCCTCCTCCAAGCTCGCTTTTCTTTGCTATTAGGTGGGCGACTATTTCTGACCAGCTGTTTTTATTCCTTGAATGCCCTGGAAATTCAGGGAGGTGGACCAGACATTTTGCAGATGGGAATACAGGCTTAGAGAGGTCCACGTGGTTGTCCCAGGACCCTTCCCTTCCTCTGTCGAAGCCACAGGGCGCTGTGTGATGCCCAGGGGGCCTGAGATTCTGAAATTCTGTCGACTGTGTATTGTCTGAGGCTCATGAGAACAAGAGGCATGAGGTTTTCTTCTTAAAGACAACCTAGAGAGTAGAACTTTAACTGAAATGTTCTAGTTCTCAGTAGTTACCAAGCTTGTTGGAATTAGGATCACTTTATGCCCTTAAATTGAGGATCTCAAATAACTTTTTTGGATATGGATTATGTCTGTCAAATATTTATTGTAAGTGAAAATTGAGAAATTTAAAAATAGTATTAATTTCTTTAAAAATAACAAATTTTGAAAGGGGAAGGTGTTTAGCCTAATAGGTGAGACCTCAGTGAAGGAGCTGGTTTTGTGTCACTGGCATTCCATATTGTAGTGGCAGTTCCAGTCCCAGCTGCTCTGCTAATATATATATATATATTATATATATATATTATATATATATATATAATAATATACCTGGAAAGGCAGTGGGAGATGGCCCAGTATTTGAGACCCAGTCACCCATATGGGACACCTGGATGGAGTTCCAGGTTCCTGGATTTGGCCTGGTTCATCTCTGGCTATTGCAGCCATTTGGGTAATGAAACAGTAGATGAAGTCCTCCCTTCCCCCGTCAATCTGTTGCTCTGACTTCTAGTTAAATAAATCTTAGAGGGGAAAAAAAAGCCTCAGTCAAGATGCCTTCATCCCACCTAGAGGTATCTGGGTTCAATTCCCTGCTCTAGATACTGACTCCAGCTTCCTGCTAAGGCAGACCCTGGGAGGCAGCAGTGATAGCTCAAGTGATTGGGTTCCTGCCATCTAGGAGAGAGACCTGGATTGTGTTCTGGGCTTCCAGCTTCAGCCTGGGCATTGTGGACAATTGAGAAGTGAACCAACAGATGGGAGCTCGCTTTCTGTGTGTCTCTCAAATATATCTTAAAAAATTTTAAAATAACAGCAAATCCATGATATAATAATATGATAACCTATAACATTTTTAATAGACTTGTGAAAATATAACATCATGGAATAATGCTCATATAACATATTTTGATGAAAAAAAATCTCATTTTCTATAGCAAAAATGATTAGTGAGAAAAGTAATATTGTTTGTAAACTTTTGCTGGTTTACCATATCTATTTGCACATTTAATCTGTTGCAGTGGGAACTACGGTATACTTGAGATGTGAGTGAAAAGGTTAGTAATCTCTTAGTAGAGTTATGCAAACAGTTTTAACCTTGTGGACTTCTTCAAAGAGTCTCAGGGATTTCCCACAGGATTTCCGGACCACACTTTGAGAAGCACCGTAATAGAATGATACATCCTATCTTCCTAGTCAGTTCCCTCCAGCTCCCTAACGACTTGCATCCCATGATGCATAGAATGAAAGGGGCTTGCGCTGCATGTCAGATACTCACATTTCTGAGGAAGGGCTTCTGTTTGGACGCTCCGATAGCCTCCATATGTTCTGGGTTCTGAGTCCCCATCACATAAAGTCCCCAGCTGCCTCTTCTGGTGCCAGTACTGACGTACCAAAACCCTTAGAGTATGGTGACTTTATTCCAGGGGGCTTCCCAAAATTCATGTGAAAATGGAGTTAAAAGATGCTTATTTCCATACAAAATGCTTTTTTCAAATGCATGCATACTTTTTTCATAATATGCATTTTTCTGCAAATTTTTTGAAGGCCTATCATAGGCATGAATTTCAAGTGTTGTTTACACTGAAATAAACTTGTCTTTTAAGTCCATTTTCCAGAAACCTTTCGAGGCAGACTTGTATGGGAAAACCGGAAGGACTTGGTTCCCGGTAGGTGGGCATGGCTGGAGCAGCACACCTCTGCTCTCCAGTGGAGCAGCCTGCCCCCCGTGGACGGCTTTCTGTACTGTCTAATACGGTAGCCACCAGAAGTACATGGTCACTGTGTACTGGGAATGCGGCTGCTGCCACTGAGGCACCGGGCTGTTTTACTTTGGTGTATTGTAGTCAGTTTACAGTTCAGCCCCGTGTGCTTACCTGCTACTGCCTTCCGCAGAGCAGCCAGATCTCTGTTTTTGTGCAAGAAGCAAGGGAAAGGACACGCACATGGGTTGGGAGCACTGAGTTTTCAAGCCTGACTAGTATGTTCCTCTGTGTGTGTGTGTGTGTGTCTCTCTCTCTCTGCTACAGGCCCCACCATGAGGCCCCAGCCCCACGGGAGCCCCCACGCTCCCCTAGATCCCAGCGCGCTGTGCTAGCCCCGAGCTGGGGCCTGGGGAGGCGCCGCAGCCATGGCCAGCCATGTGGACCTGCTGACGGAGCTGCAGCTCCTGGAGAAGGTGCCCACGCTGGAGCGGCTGCGGGCCGCCCAGAAGCGCCGGGCCCAGCAGCTGAAGAAGTGGGCGCAGTACGAGCAGGACTTGCAGCACCGCAAGCGCAAGCACGAGCGGAAGCGCAGCACGGGCGGCCGCCGCAAGAAGGTGTCCTTCGAGGCGAGCGTGGCGCTGCTGGAGGCCTCGCTGAGGAACGACGCCGAGGAAGGTAGGTGGGCCACGTGCTGGGCGGGCTGCACGCCACCTTGGCCTCCCTGCGCCACTCCAGGGGCCTCTCCTCAGGTCAGGCAGCCCCACCCGGCTTAGCAAGAGCGGGTTCCGAGGACAAGCTTTGGATTTATCTTAGGCTGTTTGGAAACAAAGATTCCGGCCTTTTGGCTAATGAATCCCATAATAACTTTCCTTCCGTCCCACCAGTGTTTACTGACAATCCACTTCCTGCACAGCATTGTTGTAGGTCCGGTGGGGAAGAGCTAGCTGGATCTGGTTTCTGTGATCCAAGAGGCCCTTGCCTTCCTCACGCGCCTCCTCTGTGCGGAGCCCAGGCTGGTCGGCGCTCTGTGCTGTGTCTTCTATTTAACTTTTGCTGTGGGTGCACATGACGTACAGCGTGGTTACGGTGTAGACTCTGAAGTTACATGGCCTGGGTCCAAGACTGGCTTTGTCAGTTCCTTGGTGACCCTGGCAAGGAGACAGGTCACGTTGGCTCCCTGTACTTAGTGTTTACCTCTGTACAATGGGGATAATAATAGTAACTGCCTCAAGGGCTTCAATTGGGTAATACTGCAAAATTCTTGGCTGTGGCCCCTCATACCCAGTAAGTGATGATGAATAGGTTTTATTTTATTGTATTACTTTATATTGTCATTATATTTTATTCCATCACATTCATGTTATAGGATGTCCGTAAAGTCTAGAAACATAGACAAGTATGCACAATGCTGTTTGGGACATTTTTACTCCATAAAAAGTGAGTTTGTGATCAAGGTATACATAGGTGTGCACTTTTTTTTTTTTTTTTTTTTGGACAGGCAGAGTGGACAGTGAGAGAGAGAGACAGAGAGAAAGGTCTTCCTTTGCCGTTGGTTCACCCTCCAATGGCCGCCATGGCCGGCGCATCACGCTGATCCGATGGCAGGAGCCAGGTGCTTCTCCTGGTCTCCCATGCGGGTTCAGGGCCCAAGGACTTGGGCCATCCTCCTCTGCACTCCCGGGCCACAGCAGAGAGCTGGCCTGGAGAGGGACAACTGGGACAGAATCCGGCACCCAGACCAGGACTAGAACCCCGTGTGTCGGCGCCGCAAGGCGGAGGATTAGCCTAGTGAGCCGCAGCGCCGGCTCGGTATGCACTCTTAAAATCTGTGTTTCCAGTTTATGGGTGCACTGCACTTGCCACATTTTATGTAATTGCATTATTATAATGTGTCCCATGATCTTGAGAATCATGGATAACAGCCACTTTATAGATGGGAAAACAGATTCAGAGAGTTCAGAACCTTGACTGTGGTGGCAGAGTAGGATCAAAAACTCTGGACTCCTAAGTCAACTTCCTAATACAGGAGTGAATGGAGGATCCCTGACTCAACCAGAGTCCTGTGCCTGGGCACATTCTGGGCAGCAGGGTGGGTGGCTGTGGGGGTTAATGTCATTGCGCAGCTGAGATTTGGGCTCAGGGCTGTGGTTCCCCACAGCAGCCTCTGGTCCATCTCTGGATACAGGGTCTTTCTGGCTGTCCTTGGAGAGGCCCGGCCATGTTTGCTATGTGCTTCCACACACCCTCTGGACACCCAGTGCTAAGCAGTCGATGCAAGAACTGATGTGTGGTGGTGCTTACAGCACAAGAGGGTGTTGAGTTTTATGGGTTTGGCCTCTTAATCCAAAAGCCCAAAATTTGAAATGCTCCAAAATCCAAAACTTTCCGAGGAACAATGTGACACTGCAAATGGAAAATTCCACACCTGACCTCATGCGATGGTGGCAGTCGGAACGCAGGCGCACTGAGCGTGTCATATAGAATTACCTTCAGGCTATGTATAGAAGGTGCACATGAAACCTAAATGAATTTTGCTTGGCTTCCATCCCCAAGATATCTCATTATATATGCAAATATTCCAAACCCTTAAAAAAATCCCAGAGGCTTCTGGTGCTGAACATCGGGGTGAAGGGTGACGAGGCTGCATTGCCCTTCCTCTCCGGGTTCCAGAGCCGTCTGTAAGGCACAGTTCACCTCCATACTAGTTCCACAGGCCTCTAGGAAATGAGCAGAGCAGGGTGCTGGAGACGGCTCAGAGCGTGAAGCCTCAGGCTGGGGACGCAGCCCTGCAGGCCTCCTTCCCACGCGTGCCTCAGCGGGTGACGTGGCAGCCCCGTCCCACTCAGGGGGCGGCTCCTCCTGCAGCCTGACTGGCGGGGGCGGCGGTTCAGTGGCTCCTCTTCCCCCTCCCATTTTCACTTCTCCCCTGACACAGCCCCTGCTCCCCCCTTGCCATCGGGCTTCTCAGGGGTTGTGGGCTTCAGGGCATCTGCGGGGGGAGGGGTGAGCCTCCCCAGACCCCTGCCCATCCTCCCTTGGTGACTTCTGTGTACTGGTGAGAAAGAGCACTGGGCTTGACGTTCAAGGGCAGTGTGCCTGAGCCCTGCCTGTGGCCCTGAGTAGCGTGTGCCCTCTCTCTGGGTCTGGTTTTCAGTTCTGTAAAATGCGGCGCTGTGCCCTGGGCTTGCAGAGGGTGTGGCAGGAGTCAGACAAGGGCTGAGTGTGCCAGCTCTGAGAAGTCCCCCTGAGCCCTGGGCTAGCACCGTGATCACTGTGACACGTTTCCTTTACAGACTTCAATGCTCGTCAGAGCTCAGATACGCTCAGATATGTTCCTTTTGTAAAAATTCAAACATCCATGTGTACAAAGTAAAAAGTGGCCCCCTTCTCTCCTTCCTTCCCTGTCACTCCTTGCTGTCTGATTGATGTGTTTCCTTGTGGGCATCTTCCTCACTTACCTATGTTTTTATGGACTGGGAGAAAGGCAGGGCCAGGATTTCTTTTTGTTGGTTGGTCGTTTATGTAAGTGATGACATCTGGTATGTTATTCTACAGTTTTTTCTTTTTTTCCCTAACCATATATCTTAGAGACACTTTCTCACCAAGACATGGACAGCGCAATGTATTTACAGCACTCCTTTTAACTTCCGTGAAATGTTCCATAGAATGGATCTACCCGAATGTTTGAGCCAGTTCCTGATTGATGGCCGTGGAAGTTTTCCTTTTGCCACAGTGACCATTTTGTACACATAGGCAAATGTTGATCTAGGACATGTGTGGAAAATGCAAGAGCTGCATAGAAGGGTATTAACATTTGAACAAGAAAAGAGCTAGACCCCAGGGCCTGGTCCCGCTCTCTCTGGGGACAGCCAAGCAGGGTGGAGGGGCCAGAGCACTGCGCTCTTTGTCAGCTATGGAGCCAGGGTGAGAGTGCCCTGGTGTCCAGGGGCGGCTGGTTTGGGTGGGGGTGAGGTGGCCATCAGTCAGCCCTCAGTCTTGCTGGGCTTTGCTCGGCTTCCCGGCAGCACAGCAGTTGGCTGGGAGCGAATCCTGTTTGCTGGTGGAGCTGGTGTTGGGAGGCTGCCGGGGGTGTCAGTTCGCAGTGGGATGGGAACGTGGGGTGGCAGCTGCCCTGCTCCCCTGAGTTCACAACATCCTCTGAGTCAACCTCCCCCTCCTATCCCAGAGAAAGGCCGCACGTGGGGAGCGTGCTGAATTGCCTCCTCCTGCATTGCCTTTCGGCTGATGTCCATGACCTGGGACCTGCCTGGACTCCCCCTGCTTCACCCCACACCCCAGCCAGCTCCTGGCTCCTCCCTAGGCCCTGTGTTCTCTTCCCTCCCCTCCTTTGCACACCTGGTTCCCTCTGTCTGGAACACTTTTCCCCAACTTGTTCCAGTGACCCTTCAGGGTTGTCTCATGTGACTGTCCCCGGGGAGCCCTCCCTGCAGTAACTCGGGACCCTGCTGAGAGGCAGGGCAGTGGTGTGGCTATGAGCACAGACTCTTCATGTGTCCTCCAGGATTCAGATGCAGCTCTACCATCCACTTAGCTGTGCAGCCTTGGGAAAGTTACTTAACTTCTAGATGCCTCGGTTTCCCCATGTATAAGAAAGAGACTGATAATAATAAGCCTGCCTCATGAAGTTGGAGGGGAGTGCATTGAGCTGATAAATGTTGATGTGATGTAAGAACTAGGCAGATGACAGAAATTGCTGCTGGTTTACCTTCACGGAATCTATTGCCGTTACATATTCTGACGGTCATTGTCTTTGTGACTTACCAGGTGCTGACTTTGTACCAGGTGGTCTGCTTTACATATTTCTTTTCGGTTAATCCCCACAGCAACCTTCTGAGGTTAGATAGCCAGATCTTGTTTTAATTCAGATATGTTTGATCTATGTGTCAAAAAATTTGCATAGTTTAAGCATGTAATTCAGTGATTTTCAGCGAATTCACAGCGCTGTGTGTTCCTCACCACAATCCATTTTTAGAACATTTCCATGACCCCAGAAAGAAGCCTCTTACCCGGGTGCCAGCCACAGCCACAGGCAGTCACTCGTCTACATTCTGCCTTTTCTGGGCATTTTGTTTATATGGAGTCCTAAAGGCATGTGATCTTGTACGATTGGCTTCTTGTTCTTTTTTTTTTTTTTAATTAATTAATTTGTTTGAATGCAAGAGTTACAGAGAGGCAGAGGCAGAGAGAGAGAGAGAGAGAGATCTTCCATCCACTGGTTCACTCCCCAAGTGGCCACAATAGTCAGAGCTGGGCCGATCTGAAGCCAGGAGCCTTCTTCTGGGTCTCCCCTGTGGGTGCAGGGGCCCAAGGACTCAGGCCATTTTCTAGTGCTTTTCCATGCCATAGCAGAGAGCTGGATTGGAAGTGGAGCAGCCGGGATTTGAAGGGCACCTATATGGGATGCCGGCACTGCAGGCGGTGGCTTTACCCGCTACGGCACAGCACTGCCCCCAACGATTGGCTTCTTTTACCCAAATGATTTCAGGGCTCCCCCAGCGGCCCGTATCAGGGCTCCATACTTTGTACAGCCCTGTGGTATATCCCACTACCATTCACCACTTGATGAACATCTGGATTGTGGTGATGAATGCTGGTGCTGAGGAAACTGCCGTGCAAGCCGTATGTTTCCGTTTCTCTCGGCAGTTGCCTAGGCA